AGAAATAATCTGAGATGCCAGTAGTTTGGAGATGTCTAGTGTGCAGTTGGTTACATGCAACTGGAGTTCAGGAAGGAGACTAGGATTAGCTATAGCTCTGGGTAGTCATTTGTAAACAGATGATAGTTAAATTAATGAACTGACAAGATCACTGAGAGAGAACATGTTTTAGGGCCCTGCTCCTTTTTCCAAATGAGTCAGGGTTACTTTTGGGATTCACAGAAATTAAGAGAAGACTTTATCAGATTTTCCGCTTTACCTTTAATGATAATTGCCCTCTAAATGAGTAATTTGTGATAGACTGTCATACCCAAAGGGGAAAAAAGTCAAATGCTTAAAACTTAACCAATTTAAGATGTAAAATATATTCTTTGTAGCCAATAAGGGTCTTTGAACAATATAAAATGAGATACACTGCAGCTCTGTGTCCTAACTTGAGTTATCCAATTATCTGAATAGACTTGCAGTCTTATATGAGCCAGTGGGGAAGAGATATAATTGGAAGAGGATGTGGTTAATAAAGAAGACTTGGTGGTAACTTCAAGGGTTTCTAGGAGAGCTGAATGACCAGGGAGCAGTGAAAGGGTCTGCTGTCTCAGATAAGCTAGTTGGGTTGGGGTGGCCCAATAGTATCTCATAACCTTTCTCCAAATGGCTCGAATGTTTTCCCTTTCTACACAGAAAGGATCCTGGCTGACACACATTTAACACCTCAGGTGCTTACTACCTATGGGACTTTCGACAAATCACATAACCTCTTTGGGACTCAGTTTCCTCATCTGCAAAGGAGAGGTTTGGATTAGATGGCCTCTGAGGTCCCTTTCCAGCAAATCTACAATCCTGGGTTTCAGTTTTCTAGCTCCTAGGGATATCTGATAGTGATTGGTTGAATGAGATGGTGAAACCACCCTTATTAGGTCAGCTCAGATCAGAGGGGCTCATCCCATTATCTCTGTTTGGGATACAAAATTTGTTATCTATCTGTTAAGAACTAGAGGAGCTACAAAAACAAACAAACAAACAAACAAAACCCAAACTATTTCACTTAGGCTTAACTGAAGTATTATCACAATTCTGAAAACAGGAAGACATCTTCCCAACAGTATAGGATATAAATCAAAATAGTGAAATTGTATTGGTGCCTGGAAAGCAAAGTATATTGAAAATTTTGTTGTTGTTTCTAATTTGACTAAGGCTTAGGACCACAACAGCCCAGAGGCTTGTTCTTCAAGGATGAAAAGAAGTCTCTGCTTTAAAGATTTAGTTTTCCCCTTGGATTCTATATAGGAATGCTGACAAGATAGGATACTGGTGAGAACTTCCCCAAAACTCTAGTGTTAAGGAGAAAAAGGCCTTATTTTACCAATATGCATGAATATACTATTTTTTATCAGGTGATATAAATTTGTCTATAGAGGCAAGCTAGTACCTGCAGTTATGAAAATTCTAAATAGCAAATACATCCTTATGTACATTATTAACAGGCATAAAGAACTATACAGACCAGACATTATGGAAGCAAACAAAAAAAAAAAAGACATTATACAACAAAGTTCATTCTGTTGGTTCTGCCAGACTGTAAGATGAGAAGAAGTTCTGGATACAAACTTGAGGGACTACCCTTGCTAAGGGGTTGGAAGATGAAGATCTCACAGAGGAGTGTGCTTGGACAACTAGGAGAAACAGGGGAAAGTAGCTTCCTGGAATCCAAGGAAAAGATAATATCTAGGAGGAGAGGTGATTGGCAATGAATGGTAAATGCTGCAGAGAGCTTAGAAAATTTTATTAATTTATTTTGATTTATCAACAATCACTTCCATATGCTTTTGAGATTAAAATTTTTCTCCCCCTTCCTCTCCACCACCCTCCCCAAGACAATCTGATATAGGCTATACATATACGTCCCTATTAAACATATTTTCACATTTAGTGATGTCATAAGTAAGAATTAGAACCAACAGGAGGAACCACCAGAAAGAGGAAACAAAACTCAACAGAAGAGGAAAAAAATAGCAAATAGTGTGCTGCAATCTGCATTCAAGTTCCATAGTTCTTTCTTTGGATGTGTATAGCATTTTCCATCACGAGGCAAAAGGCCTCATTTCTTTTTTTTTCTTTTTTCTTTTTTTTTTATTGTGATAAGGCTAATTTAATTGGGTACATACATACATACATACATACATACATACATACATACATATATCTATTTGGCTTAGAAAAATCTGAATATCTTCCCCATTTCCACATGCTTTTGAGTTGAAAATTTTTTCTCCCTTTTTCTCTCCCCCCCACCCTCCCCAAGAGGACGCGCAATCTGACATAGGCTTTACATTTACATACCCATTAAACATATTTTCACATTAGTGAAGTTGTAAGTAAAAATTAAAACCAATACGAGGAACCATCAGAAAGATGAAACAAAACTTAACTGAAGGTAAAAATAAGTGAGAGTGATTCGACTTCCATAGTTCTTTCTTTGGATGTGGACAGCATTTTCCATCCCAAGGCCTCTAGAGATGTCTTAGATCCTCATAATGCTGAGAAGGGTTCAGTTTAACATTCTTAGTCATTGCATAACGTGGCTGCTATTGTATACAAAGTCCTCTTGGTTCTGCTCACTTCACTCAGCATCAGACCACATAAGTCTTCCCAGGTTTTTCTGAAGTCAGCCTGTTCATCATTTCTTACAGAACAACAGTATTCCATTACATTCATATACCACAACTTGCTCAGCCATTCCCCAATTGATGGGCACCCTCTCAATTTCCAATTCTTTGCCACCACAAAAAGAGCTGCTATGAATATTTTTGTACATGTGGGTCCTTTTCCCATTTGTTTGATCTCTTTGGGATATAGCCCTAGAAGTGCTATTGCTGAATCAAAGGGTGTGCACATTTTTGTAGCCCTTTGGGCATAGTTCCAAATTGTTCTCCAAAATGGTTGGATCATTTCACAACTCCACCAACAAAAAGGCCTCATTTCTAAGACATAGATAGGGAATTGATTCAAATTTATAAGAAGAGCCATTCCCCAGTTGACAAATAGTCAAAGGATATGAACAGATGTTTTCAGACAAAGAAATCTTAGCTATCAATAGCCTTATGAAAAAATGTTCTAAATAATACACAAATCAAAACAAAGCAGGAGGTACCTTTTACCCATCAGATTAGCAAAACTGACAAAAAAGGAAAATGACAAATGTTTGAGGGGCAGTGGGAAAATAAGTACATTAATGCACTATTCGTGGAATTGTAAACTAACTGGTCTGGCCATTCTGGAAAGTAGTTTGAAACTATGCCCTAAAAGCTATTAAATTGTGCATAACCTTTGACCCAGTGAGATACCATTACTGCCAAATAGAACAAAGAAAAATGAAAAGGATCCATTTGCACAAGATATTTATAGCATCTCTTTTCATGGTGGCAAAGAATCAGAAACTAAGGGGATGCCTATCAATTGGAAAATGGCTAAACAAATTATGGTATATGATTGTGATAGAATATTATTGTACTGTAAGAAATGATAAAAGGAATGGTTTCAGAAAACCCAGTAAGACATATAAACTGATGCAAAGCCAAGTGAGCAGAACCAGAACAATTTACACAATAACAGCAATATGGTAAAGATACTGTCAAAGACTTATGACCCATCACAATTCCAAAGGACTCACATTAAAAAATGCTATCCACCTCCAGAGGAAGAACTAAGAGACTCAGAATGCAAATTGAAGCATATTTTGATGTGGAAATTTGTTTTGAATGACTTCATACTTGTAATGGGTTTTATATATTTTTTTCTGCCTTCCCAATGGGTGGGGGAGGGACGGGGAACAGAATATTTGGGACTGAAAACAAAATAAAATTTTCTTAAAAAGAGACTTGGTCAAGATCATATAGGCAATAAAAGCCTCATAGGTGGTATTACAAACCCAGGTACCCTGGCTCCAAAGCTAATTCTCTTTCTACCATGCTGCGAATTTAGCCTTCGAATTTAGTTCTGGAGAAGTATTAGGCTTGGAATCCCTCGATTAAGTGAGGGAGAAGGGAAGAGGAGGTCCTGGGGCAGGAACTAGTATCACTACCTGATGTAACACAAGGCAGAGGCATTGTTTTCTCAGCTGGTTCTATGATCCAGGGCAGATAGGTGTTCCCTACAGAGATGGCAGTAAGAGATGGGAAAAATCGTCTACAATACTGTTAGTGAGAGGGGCTAAGCCTGGAACTCAACCCTTTTGGGTAGAGAAATAAGAGGAGAGTCATAATTAGGTCAGGAGCATCCCCTTTCTACCTACCTGGGTAGTTGGGTGGAAAGGTAGGCAGGTAGTAAATAGTAAAGTAGTAATAGGAACCTAGTAAATCGATTCCTAGGTCAGAAGGGCTTCATAATATTTAGAAGAATGGGGCACCTATTTTCACCAGTCAGGAAATAACAGCCACAGCTTTCTGGCTCCATTGTTATATTAGGAAGACAGCTTGGCACTACTAGTGGAGAGGGCCCTAGCTGCATCAAAGGACCTGGGTTCAAATCCCTCTCTGACAATTGCTATCTGGGTCCCTGGGCTTCAGTTTCTTCACCTGTAAAACGACAGGGTTGGACTAGTTCCACTCTACGGATTCTTCCAGCTCCAGATGGCAGTGAGTCACAAACATCTTGCTTTCAGATCAGTCAAATTTGCAGGGGCTGGAAGTACCAAGATTAAAAAATGAGAGCCCCTGTCCTCGAGGGGCTTACAGTTTCTTCATTAACCACTTTCTCTTGTGTTGTCTTCACAATGAAACGGGGACCGTCATGAGAGTCCAGGACTGGGTTTCTTCCACACCTTGTGCGGGTGATACAAACTGGGAAGGTTAGGGTCCTCTAGTCCTTCAACCAGGGGGTCCCCGACCTTACGGTTCCCATGCCTTGCTGATGCGCCCCACATTTCCCCCGGCCAGGGATGCCCCAGGTCACGTGCTCGTTACTGTCCTCTGATTGGTTGCTTCTTCTGGTCATGTGGGCAGCAGCAGGGTGGTGCCTCTAGCGGAGGTGAGGCACACGTGTCACACAAAGAGGGTGAGGCTGTATTTTTTTGCTGGGATAGGGGTGGATTAAAAGATACCCAGGCTTAGGGAGTCTAGCTAGGGTCGCTACCTGAGGGGAGTTCCTGGGGCGCGGAGGCTGGAGTGGGGGTGGGGCAGCCTGCTAGAGTAATTCCCTCCCATTTCATTCTGTGAGAAGTGAGCCACCCCCTCACCCCCCCACGTTGTGGGGTGGGGCGCTCTGGAGAGGAGGCCTCTTACCTCGCGCATCCCCTCCCCCCTCCGTGCGCTGCCTTCCCTTTCCCTCTGGCCGTGCTGTGCAGGCTCCGCCCCTCCCCTATCCTCTGCCTCTGCTGGGCAGAAACCAGGCCCCGTCTGTACAGTGTAAGCTCCATGAGGGCAGGTTCTCTTTCGAATTTTGAGTTTGTTAAACCTCTGTAGGCCCTCCCCAAAAGGCACCTGTGTCCTGTCCTTTCCACCCTGCCTTCCCTCTTCCTGCGACTGCAGACTCCTCATCCACACAGAACCCCATCTCAAGCCCTCTCCACCATACATGCACAGACCCTTCTCAGTCGTGGATTAGGACGTGTTCTTCCCATATAGAACACTTTATAGCTAATCGTGTGTTTATGGGCAAATCATTTAACCTGTCATAACTCCAGTTTCTTCATCTGTAAAATGAGTAATGTGTTATTTGTCTACTGGATAAGAGGCTCAAATGCTAGCTAGGCTGGCTAACAATAGTGCTTAAGATTTCCTCTTAGCTGTTAGATGCATTGTATGAAGAGGCAACCTAACACGTAGACACACATGCTATATACTCTTTTTTTATAATCCTTTTAGCCTCTCTCACCATATATTTCTCTACTTCTTCCCCTCACCTTTGAGTCTTCCCTTCATGTACACACACCCCTCCCTGTATATACTTTACCACACATGAAAAATGTGTATATATAGGTGTATCTTAATATACATGTATGTGTATAGATATGTATGTATATATTTATACATACCTGTTATACATACATATATGTATATATGTGTGGATACACATACCCACCCATTTCTTCCCCAACATACATAATATAATAGCAGTAGAAATGATGAGGGTAACCTGACTCTTTGAAGTAGTACATTTTATCTATGGACATATAGATGCTGTATAGGCATTTTACTAAGTACCTTTTCACATGTAGCATCTGGCTATGCAAAGTAACAAGAATCAAGCCGGCAGATCTTCGCTTTCTGGGAAGACCTGCCATCACTGAGGTGAATACTTAAATTACAAACTTAAGTATGCAATGAGTATACATATCCAGATAGTTTAGTAACAGAAGTGTACCTTAGGAGAGGACAAGGTAAGTGCCATGGAGCTTCAGTCTCTCAGTATACCAGTTTAGTAAAAGCTGTGACCTGGCACACCCCCTTCCCTCCACCCCCCCCCTTTTTTCTGACATAAACTTAAATCAGAGTAGATAACAGTAGCAGCTTGGAATATAGCGATAGAGGAGCACTGTGATATAAGAAGTAAATGTATGTAGCTCTGAATATATAATTATCTGGGGAAAGGAGGCATCAAGGTGAGGAGTAAACAGAAAAATTGGGAATCTAGCATTTATATAAATACACCCACCATTCCTTCAACTTGACCAGTCTTGTGTGGTGATGCAGGTGTAGCTTAGTAGGAAAATGTAATCCCACATCTGTGGAGTGACAAAACCATGTGCTCCACCATTCTGATTTTGTTTCTGAGTTTATAGTAGATACTTGTTTATAAAAGTTCATGAAGTCTTACTATGAGCTGATACTGCCTTTTTAAAAGTACAAACAAATTTGTTTTCCTTGTCTTAGGTTAATTCTTTCAAGTAATATACAAGGGCTGGAGAACATGATCGCATTTTTTTCCCCTCTGAAAAGCTTCTGCTTTTTGTCTTACTTTAGATAGAAAGGTGACTGAAAAGGGTGCTAGCCAGAGGGCAGTAGAACAAGATGGAAGGAATGACTTGGTCAGAGTTTGTAAAACTTATGTAGTGTATATTTTTTAAAAGTGATAGGAAAATCTGAAGTTGTTTTCATGTGCACTAGCCAGAATGACTTGACTAGGGTATTACTCTTTAATTATTCAAACAAATAATCACATTTCTTGTAGGGGGTCCTTAGGGAATTAAATATTAGCTATTTATGAATAGAATTCTGTTTTACAGATCCTAGAATATCACTTGCAACATAGCTTAGAAGACTACCAATTAAAATATTGATTCCTTCTCAAAAACTTAATTCCTTTTCAATCCACATAATCAGCTTGACACCAGCAGGTTTAATTTAAAATTGTTTTGCCTCTTGACCCCAAAAAACATCTCATGAGACTCATTTTTATCTTGCAACTAACTAGTTCGCTATGTTTACATATCCAGGTTGGTTTGTTTGTTTTTTCAGATCTGTGATGTCATTAGGGTCAAGAACTCCTGGTGAGGAAACTCTCCTTTACCAATTTAGATCCACAACTATTCTACAATTTGTGGTTAGAGAGTTGCCTGGGCCACCAAAAGGTTAGATGACTTAGGATCACACAATCAGTGTGTGCCAGGGACTAACTGACTCAAAATCTTTCTGATCCTGAAATCTGGCTCTCTATCCATTATACTGTGTTGTCTTTCTTACATAGCTATATAATTTTTGAAGATAACTTTGGGTTCTATGATAACTTCACTGTAATGGACTTCTAAATTTTGATGGTGTCCTCTGACTTGGTTGGGTGTTGGAGCTTTGTGAGTGTAGTATGCCTTCTGGGCTCTCTCACTATCCCAACTCCCACAAACATTGGTAGGCTAAGTCCCCGGTGGGCAGCTGACTCTCCTCTCTTAAGGGTAACCATGAGGGATTGAGGTTGGTTTTTCTAGTACTATTGCTTAAAGGTTCCTATCTATGTACTCCCAGATGGTAACTAGCCAGTCAGACTTAATTGGATTTTAAAAAGAGGTGTTTACTGAGATGTTATAACAAGAATGGTTGGTATAAACATTCATCCAAAAAACTGGAGTGCTCTCTCCCACAAGTACATAGAGTCCAGGGTAAGGTGGGCTCAAGCTTAGAGAGCACATGTAGCAAAGTGGTAACTCACAGCTCCTCTTTGGAAAAGAAATCCTTTTCTCCCTTCCTGGAGAATTCATGAAGTTCCTTCCTCTAAGATGTGTGTAGCACTCTGCTGGACCTTTGTCCACTTTGTCCTCTCAGCTCCTCATGGATGCTTTATTTGTTACTAATCTATCTCTTTAATAATCAAGTAAATAGGAGGAAGGTGACACTCCCTCTGGGCTTACCTCCACCCTTTTGCTACTATGGTTACAGTGTGTAAAAGGGTCAGATTCTTCAAAAAACTCCCCAAACATTCCCACTTTCCCATATTCCTGCTTGAATCCCTCTGTGTGTGTGTGTGTGTGTGTGTGTGTGTGTGTGTGTATCAGTGAAGAGATTCAAGAAGAAAACCAGGTCGTAGACTGGGAGCATTAATATAAATATATACATACACGTATGTATGTGTGTATGTATGTATAGATATACATACATACCTGCAGAGGTGTGTCTAATTCTTTCAACTAATTTGATGTCATCTAGTTGGGCAGCTAGGTGGCGTCGTAGATAGCATACCAGCCCTGCAGTCAGGCAGACTCATGTTCCTGATTTCAAATCTTACCTCAGATACTAACTAGCTGTGTGACCTTGGGCGAGTTAATCCTGTTGGCCTCAGTTCTTCATCTGTAAAATGATCTAGAGAAGACAATGGCAAACCACTCCAGTATCTTTGCCAAGAAAACCCCAGATGGCGTCACAAAGAGTTGGACAGACTGAACAACAGCAAAAATTTCATCTAATGACTTGAAGCACTTTACTGCTTACACCTACTTTATACTTTTGATTGATTCAGTAGTGATATCTATGAATTGTTCACACCTAGTTTATAGATTTGATTGATTGAAAGAAGCATTCTCCATTTTCACCTGATAGACTTACCAGAGTGTAGAGCATCTTGTTAGTTACATTAATTGGGGCTAGGGTGAGGTATATAAAACGTCTTTTACATGGGCCTGTAAACTTTTTTGGGGGGGGGGCGGTCCAGGTAAGATTGTAGCAAGATTTGAGAACCAGAGTTCTAACTATTGATGAGCTTGTAGGCTTAGAATTCAAGTTAAATGCCAGTGGTCAATCTGTCAGGAGTTGGTGAGCTTAGCTATTCTCTTTGGAGAGTCTAGGAGGGCCTCCAGGGGAGTTCGGACTATGGCATAAGCACAAGTAGGAGTCTGAGTGAATTCCAGCCATCATTCTTGACCTTTTCTGTTTCATCAGCTAAGCTCTTTTTGAACTGCTTTTGCGTTTGAACTTTGGAATTCCTTTCAGTGTGAGTCATTTAAAGAATGTTTGAATGGAGCCAGTTGATTAAAAAAAAATCTATTCTTCTTGCTTTCATCTCCTTTAGCTATATTATTCATTTATTTGCTTTGTAAGAAGAATCTTTCAGTGGATTACTTTGAAAGTAGACTACAAAGAGGAAATTAATATATCCTTGTATTCACACAAGTTGAAACAAATTAATTAATTGCAGTATTTAGTGGTAATTGTAACCAATTTTTTTTTTCAGATAAGGCAAATGTAGCTTATGTGGTAGTCTTTAAAAGTTATTTATCTTTTGCTTTTATATCACCTTCATTTCCAAATATATTCCTTCTCCCCCCCCCTCGCCAGAGAGCCATTCCTTATAACAAAAATAAGAGAGAGAAAAAAGGGAGAAAAATAAGAACAATTTAGCAAAGTTAGCCAACACCTCAACTGAATCTGATAGTATGTGTAATGTTAATCTATTCCTATAGTCCCCCGCCTCTGCAAAAGAGAGGGAAGTACATGGTAGAGTCTTTTAAATAATAATCACTCAAATTAGAAGATAGGATTCATTTTTAATGCACTTAATTGTTGCCTGTCGTCCTTACTTTACAGTTTTTCAGCACCTTTCCCTCATTGAACTTCTTTTGTGACAAAAGCAATTAAGAAAATATTGACTCTGATAATGTATACAGTATTCTGGCTGGCAGTAGTTGTCCTTCCAACTTTCTGAAGAGAGGAAGGAGGTAGGTTTCATTATCTGTTCTCAGGGAGTCTAACTGATTTTTTTCTATTACAAAGACATGAACCCCTTTTAAGTGATTTTTTCATTTTCATTGTTGTAATCATTATGCTTATTATTTTTTAGTTCTGTTTATTTTCCTCTGTATCAGTTCATATAAATGTTCTTGTTTCTCAGAATTCCTTACATTTGTTATACTGTATAGTAATGTTCTATTACAGTCACATACTGAAGTTTGTCCAGTCATTTCTCATTTGATAGACATGCACATAGTTTGCTACCACAAAGAGTGGTGTGATGAAGATTCTGCTATATTTGGTATATTGGATCCTTGTTTTTGTCTTTGATTTCCTTGGCATATGCCCAATGTTAACCCTCTGGGTCAAAGGGTATGGTCAATGTAGTCATTTTTCCTGCTTAATTAGGATATTAGGATTTAGAGCTAGATCATAGTCCATTTTCTGAGAAATCTGAAATGCTCTTAGAAGGTTAAGTGACTTCTTGTAGTCACAGGTCTAATAATTGTATGGAGAGCACCAAATGTTTATGAATTAGTTTTTAGATGATGGAAAGCTAGGAAAAGGAGAAAGTGATGTGCATAACCATTTTTGCCTACTGTTTAGTTGCAAAGCTAAGAACTGATAGCTTTTTGGTTTCTGAATAATGTGTTGGTCTGCTGATTTGCATTACCATTCTAGAATAATAAACAGGCTCTGAATGTCTAATTAAATTGGATCTATTTTTTAAGAATTATTTATATTTCAGTATAATAGTCTTCCCAAAGTAAAGTTAGGTAGTGTAAAATAAAAATGTTAATATTTACTCTCAAATGCTTCAGTATTTGTTTAGTGTTTATTTAGTGTTCTCTGTGACCCTGGGCAAGTCACTTAACCCTGTTTGCCTCAGTTCCCTTGTTTCCAGTTTCCAGTATCTTTGCCAACAAAACCCCAAATGGGGTCATGAAGAGTCAGGCACGACTGAAATGACTGAACAACAAAGAAACAACTATTATTGCTTCAGTATGTATTATTTCAGTACTTGTATGTCTCCTACACATTTTTTGGAGTCAGTGTTAATCAGAGTTAAAGCAGTTAAAAATCAGTCAGTGGATAAATATTTATTAAGCACCTGCCATGTTCTAGGCACTGTGCTAAGAGTTGGGGATACAAAGAGAAGCAGAAGACAGTCTCTGTTCAAGGAGTTCACAATCTAATGGAGGAGATGCAAACTACTATGTGCAAACAAGTTTTATACAGGATAAACTGGAGGTAATCAACATAGAGAAGGCCCTAGAATTAAGGGGGATCAAGAAAGACTTTCTGTATAAGGTAGGTTTTTAGCTGGGACTTGAGGGAAGCCTGGAGGTGGAGATGGTGAAGGAGAACATTTCAAGCCTGGAGGATACCAGCCAGCAAAAATTCTTGAGTCTGCAAATAGAGTTGTCTCGTGCATGGAAAAAAGGAGGCCAGTGTCACTGGATCTCATAGTACCTGGAGGCTGGAAGTGTAAGGGATAAGAAGACAGGAAGGGCGGTAGAGGGGAGGGGGGCAGGTTATGAAGGGCTTTGAATGCCAAACAGAGAATTTTGCATTTGATCCTGAGGGTGATAGAGAACATTGGAATTTATTGAGTAGAAGCGTGACATGGTCAGATCTATGCTTTAGGTAGATAAGTTTGACAGCTGAATGCAGGATGGACCGGAGGGTAAGGCTAGGAGACCAACTAGCATGCTAGAGGTGACAGGGCCTAGTGTGGCAGCTATGTGAGTACAGAGAAGGAGGCATTTAGGAGAGATATTACAAAGATAAAATTGATGTTCCACTTCCGGGAGCCAAGAGGGCGGAGTGAAAAGGTAGTAGCTCTCACCCTCCCCTATCAACCTCTGAAAACCCAGAAAATATCACCCCAGAAAAAACCCTGGAACAGCTGAACTGGAAGAAAGATGGGGAACAGCAGTGCAGCAGCCCAGCAAACGGGTCTCCCAGGGCCTCAGCAAAAATAAGGGAAGCAAGCGCTACAAAGGGCCCCAGGCAGATAAGCACCCTGAGGCATTCATCTGAAAGGAGCTGAAGAAAGCAACCTAGAGTCTCCCTGAAGTCCCAGCCTTGCTGATTCCAGCCCAAGGTGAGGTAAGCTGCCAGAACCCTATCGCCTCCAATTCCCAGCACACAAAGCCAGTGACCAAGACCTAGGCTCCCAACACAAGAAGCTTGGGTCAGTGCCCTCTGTTCCCCAGCAGGAGAACTCAATCTCTTTAAAGGCCAGGGAATAAAGAAACCATGAGTAAAAAGAAACGTACCATAGATTCATGTTATGAGAAGATGAAGATCAAGACAGAAATTCTGAAGAGGACAACATTGTCAACAAACCCACATCTGCAACATCAAAAGGGAGTGTGAACTGGTCTGCAGCCCAAAAAGCCTTCTTAGAAGAGCTCAAGAAGGGTTTTAAAAGTCTAATGAGAGAGGTAGAAGAGTCCTTAAAAAATACAATTGGCCATTTGGAAAAAAAATACACTGAAGAAAACAAGTCCCTAAAAGACACAATTGGCAAACTGAAAAAAGTACACTGAAGAAAACAAAGATAAAATTGACAGGACTTGGCAACAGATTGTTGGGGGTGGGGTGAGAGAGAGAGAGTGAGATATTGAGGATGATGCCCAAGTTATGAGTCTGGGGGCATGAGAGAATGGTGGTACTCTTCAACAGTAATTGGGAGGTTAGGAAGAAGAGAGGGTTTGGGGGGAAAGACAATGAGTTCAGTTTTAGAAATGTTGAATTTAAGATGTCTGTGGGACTTCTAGTTTGAGATATCTAATATGTATTTGTTGATAAGAGACTGGAAGTCAGCTGAGAGGTTAAGCCTTGATAAGTAGATTTGATAGTCATCTGCATAGAAATGATAATTGAATCCATGCAAGCTGATGAGATCACCAAGAGCAAAAGTTTGAAGGAAAGAGTATCTGGGACAGAGCCCTTTAGGATACCCACACATGAATATTCACCAAAGAAGATGTAATAAGTGGTCAGATACATAGGGGAGAACTATGAGAGAGTAGTGTCACCAAAAGCAAGAGAAAGGAGAGTATTTGGGGGGGAGGGTAAGGCAGTGGGGTTGAATGATTTGCCCAGGATCACACAGCTAGTAAGTGTCATGTGTCTGAGGCCGGATTTGAACTCAGGTCCTCCTGACTCCAAGGCCAGAGCTTTATCCACTGCACCACCTAGCTGCCCCAAGAGAAAGGAGAGTATTAAGCAGAAGAGGTGATTTAACAGTGTCAAAGGCTGCAGAGATGTCAAGAAAGATGATGACTGAGAAAAGGCCATTAGATTTGGCAACTAAGAGATTATTAGTGACTTTGAGAGAGCAGTTTGGTTGAATAGGAAACCAGATTGTAGAGAGTTAAGAGGAAAGGTGGCACCTATTGTAAATAGCTTCCCCAAGGAACTTAGTACCAAAAGGAAAGAGAGATACGGGACAGTAGCTATTAGGCATAGATGGATCAAATGAGAGATTTTTGAGGCTGGGGAGACATGGACATGTTTATAGGCAGTAGGGAGACATGTAGTAGAATAGGAGAGATTGAGGATAAGTGAGAGAGTGGAGATCTGAACAAACATACCCGTTCCCCCAGTTAATGTGATATGGTGGGGAAAGGGATGTGTTTCTGGCATTTTAGTTTCAAAGTGAACATAGTGGAGGCTCAGAGTTCTCAGAGCACTTTGTTTTACCTTTCCTTAAGATCTGTCACATTCTGCTGGACACGGTAATTATTTGTATGTTGTTGAATCTCTCTTACTAGAACATAAGCTTTCTGATGGCAAGACCTCAATTCTATTCAGCATGATTATAAGAGACAGCATGCCGAGCCTGGGCTTGAATCCCATTGCTGACATTTACTTGTTTTGTGACTTCACATCGTCTCTATGAGTATTGGTTTCCTCAGCTGTGAAATGAAGATAAGCTGTAATAATTTGTCTCACAGGGCTTTGAGGATCATGCGTTTAGGGCTAAAGGAACCACAGAAATCATCCGATCCAAGTCTCTTATTTTAAAAATGAGGAAAATGAGACCCAAAGACAAGAACTGGCATGTCCAAGGTCATGTAAGTGGCAATTTGACAGAATTCAAATGGAGGCCTGGCCAGTTAATAAATATGGAATTTTGACTGAATTAGCTGATGTTGTTAGAGTACTTTGTACTTTTATACCAAGTCACCAAAAATGCCTGCTTGGGAAAGGTTGGTTCTTGTTATGGTGGCAAAGAAAATGTTTTGATGACATATAATGTAAATACTACTGTTGGAACGTCCTGATTTCCACAGAATGGGCATTTGTAAATTGTTTATGAAAAACATTACTTTATGAGCTGCCTTAATTAGTGTACTTTCCTTCTTTCTAATAGAATCTTAAGAAATGAACTTTAACGTCTGGAATGTCAAAGAGATGCTCAGTGTTCCCCCGGGTACAGGGTAAGTTTTTATGAGTACGTACTCTGTAGATTCAGGAAGATCTAGTGACTGCATTTATCTATTATCTATACAGGAAGGTGGCACTTATCTGGTAGAAGGTTTCCACTAATGGATGCTGCAGTCTATTGACACTCAAGCCCACAAGTCCTTTCTTTACCCTGTCTAGTCTTTTCCCTAAGTTCTATATTTCATATATGAAAGTAGTAAATAAGCCTATAAACACTTATTTGATTGCATTTGAGGAGAAAATTTAATTCAATAAATATATTCTTTAAACACCTATTGTATGGCTAACATTGTTTTAGGCACTATGGGCAGATACAGAAAAAGTATATGACACAGCCCACATTATTTAAAGACTTTATGTCCGGCTCTGGTTTAGACACTGTGAGAAACACAGAAGTGTGATATATGGTCTCTGATATCTAGGAATTAAAATCAATTGAATGAATGAAAAAGCATTTATTGAGAGTTTACTGTTTGCTAGGCACTGTCATGCACTGTGGTAATACAAATTCAAGTAGACAAGCACCTGTCTTCATGGAGCTTGGGCTGTTGGATTTTTTTTTTTTTGGCTGGGCAATGGGGTTAAGTGACTTGCCCAGTATCATACAGCTAGTAAGTGTCTAGTGTCTGAGGCCAGATTTGAACTCAGGTTCTCCTGCCTCTAGGGCCGGTGCTCTATCTGCTGCTCCACCTAGCTGCCCCTATCTTGTGTTCTAATAGAGGAAGACAACACACATAGCTAGAAATTGCTGGAAAGTGGTGTGGAAACTGAGAACAAGACTAGAGAAAGTGAAAGCTCACCAATCAGAGGACAAGGTTCACAGGGAATTGAGGAAATTGTTTCATTCAAAAATCATTTACTAAACACCCACATTGTTCCCAGCCTTGTACTAGGTACTATGGAGCATAAAAAGGACATATTTTTATTTTTTTACATATATATATATATATATATATGTATGTGTGTATATATATATATGTATGTGTGTATATATATATGTATGTGTGTGTATATATATATGTGTGTATATATATATGTATGTGTGTGATATATATATATATATATATGACTTAGCCCTACTATTGAGGAGCTTATTGTCTAGTTGGGTAGATAACACATAAACACATATAACAATTAGCACATAGCATCATAATATAGTTATATAGTTGTATGGAATTATGTGGGAAAAACTCTAAGTACTGTAGGAGTTCATAATATCCTTTACATTGGACAAGTTAAGTGATACCTGTCAGTTATCTCAACCTGTGAGCTGACTAGAGAAAATTTTTAAAAAATTTATTTGTTTATGTTTAGTTTTCAACACTCACTTCCATAAGATTTTGAGTTCCAAATTTTCTCCCCATCTCTCCCCTCCTTCCACCCCAAGATGGCATGCAATTTCATATGGGCTCTACATATACATTCATACTGAACCTATTTTCACATTAGTCATGTTGTAAAGAAGAATTCGAACCAATGGGAGAAACCACAAGAAAGAAGAAAACAAAAAAAAAAAGGAATAAAAAAGAAAGAGAGCAAATAATATGCTTTGATCTGCATTGAGACTCCATAGCTCTTTTTCTGGATGTGGACAGCATTTTCCAGCATGAGTCCTTTGGAGTTGTCTTGGATCCTTGCATTGCTAAGAAGAGATGAGTCTATCAAAGTTAGTCATTGCACATTGTGGCTATTACTGTGTACAATGTTCTCCTGGTACTGCTCACTTCACTTGGCATCAGTTCATATACATCTTTCCAGGTTTTTCTGAAGTCTGCCTGCTCATCATTTCTTATAGTGCAATAGTATTCCATTACATTCATGGGCCGCAATTTGTTCAGCCATTCCCCAACTGAGGGGCATCCCCTAAATTTCCAATTCTTTGCCACTACAAAAATAATATAAATAATATATTAAATAATATATAATTATATAAATTATATAAATATTTTTGTTCATGTGGGTCCTTTTCCCATTTGTATGATCTCTTTGGGATACAGCCCTAGAAGTGGTATTGCTGGGTCAAAGGGTGTGCACATTTTATAGCCCTTTGGGTATAGTTCCAAACTGCTCTCCAGAATGGTTGGATCAGTTCACAACTCCACCAACAATGCATTAGTGTTCCAATTTTCCCATGTCTTTTCCAACGTTGATCATTTTCCTGTTTAGTCACGTTAGCCAGTCTGATAGGTGTGATGTGATACCTCAGAGTTGTTTTAATTTGCATTTCTCTAATCAATAGTGATTTAGAGCATTTTTTCATGTGACTACAGATAGCTTTAATTTCTTCATCTGAAAACTACTTGTTCATATCCTTTGACCATTTATCAATTGGGGAATGACTTGTATCCTTATAAATTTGACTCAGTTCTCTCTATATTTTAGAAATGAGGCCTTTATCAGAGATACTGGTTGTAAAAATTCTTTCCCAGTTTTCTGCTTCCCTCCTAATCTTGGTTGCATTGGCTTTGTTTGTGCAAAAACTTTTCAATTTAATGTAATGAAAATTATTCATTTTGCATTTCATAATGTTTAAAGAAAATTTTCAAGCCCACTTAGAGGAAGTAATTTAACCCTGACCACATACTGGTATCTACAGCTATGTCTTTTACCAACATTTCCTAGCTTCTGATTTGGGTGATGGGTGAGAGGGTATACCAGAAGTGGAGGGAAGAAATTTAAGATTATCTTCCTGTATAACTATTCACTGAATGCTTTCTTTTCCCCAAAAACTTTCTTGAAGATTCATTATTAATTTAGCAGAAACCTAGAGATTTGTTCTCTTTAACAAAAAATTGCAGTTAGTATTGAGAATGGAACAAAAATTAAAGGTCTTCATTAATTTCAAAACTAACTTACTTACAAATACAATGATTCAAATTGACTTACTAATCTGCCTTTGTTCCAGCCCAACTAATTATTCACTGTGGCCTTGTGGGGGGAATCACAAAGCTCTATTTTGAACTATTATTACACAATTCTCCATATATATGTATGAACACATATATGTACATATACATAATATACACATATACATATACATATATACTTATATCTCTATCTTTTCAGAGTGGAGTGTGTGTGTGTGTATGTAGTCCTTGAATCTAATCAGCTTGTCATTATTGTTCATTAATGACATAAAAGATCCTTCTTGTTTAGGATATATATTATATTTATGTACTACTCAGTTATTTTAAATTTTATATTTTAAAGATGAATGATCTTTGTGAATTATTTCTTGGGCTTTTAAAATAGTTTGTACTTTATAGCCTCCTCACCTATATAATATGCAGTCCATTATATTCAAATGGAATTGATAATAATTTTAGCTCACATTTTATTAGTGCTTTTTGGTTTACAAAGTATCTTCCTTACAACAACCCTGGGAAGTAGGTAGAACAAGTATTATTATCTCCATAAGTGAGGAAACTGAGGCTTGGAAAGTTTATGTGACTCGCCTATCTAGCTGGTATGTGGAATATATGGAACCAAGGAGTCAGCTCCACTGACTTCCACCGTATGGCATCACTGTGCTAATATTGCTCACTACACTCTAAGACTTAAGAGAGTGAATAACAGTGCCAAATTCATCAAAGTAGAGGTAATGAATGCCATAACTTTCCACAGGAAATGAAGCAGGTTTCAACAATTGATTATTCCTTGGCGGAGTATCTTTTCTCTTTTGTAAAATGAAAAGGTTGGACTAGATGATAGCTAAAGTCCCTTCTGGAAGCTGTAAGTGGGTGCTATGTAAAATATAGTTAGACGGGAAAAATACAAGGACAGGAGTTTTTAATATGGGAGAATTATGGGTTGTAGAGGCTTTAAAAATCAGTAAATACCAGAAATGTCCAATCATCCACAATCATTTTTTTGGTTATTTTACTTGTTTGGGTTTTTTTTGAGGTTTTATTCGGGGGGAAAGGAGCTGATCTTTTTTTGTTCGTTTGAACTATCTTCCTTTTCTTCTTCATATTTTTGAACATTTATACATATCCTAAGTTAAAGCAAATTTTATTTATAAACATTAAAAAACATTTGGATTCTAGTATGTTGTTACAATATTATAATCTATGAGTCACTTATGATAAATGAACAAGAAACAAGAAGGCATTGTAGGGAACAGTGCCTTACTTTATGAAAATCTTGAGAAGACAATGTACTGTGCTCCTTTAGTCCCTAAAGATTTATGAGCCATGTTTTCAAAGATGAAGATGGTCCTGTATAAGATATACTGATGTTACTAGGAGTATTAAGTAAATTTCTCTATCAAGACAGTTATTCTACAGCAGTACCAGGAATTCTCTTGATCTTTTATTAATAATGCTTATTGTAGTTAGAGTGGTGATAGTTTAGTCTTAACTGACACCTAGTAGAATGCTGGTGGCATCATACTGAGGGTGATAGCAGGCAGTGTGACAATAAAGACTGAAGTGGTTGTCTGTAAATTAGAAAGGTGATATAATAGTGTGGCAAGAGCATTGAATTTGGAGCCTGAAAGCATTCAGCTGTAGACTTATTGCCTGTATTAGAATGTGAGCTCCTTGTGAACAAATTATTGCTTTTTTTTCTATTTGTATCGTGACAGCATTTAGCACAGTGCTTTGCACATAATAGATGTTTAATGAATACTTTTTCATTCATTCATTCATTCCATAACCTCTGCTGAATCACTTCACCTAATAAATAATTTTCATTGTCCATAAAATAAAGAGTTGAACTCAATGATCTCTAAATCCTATGACTCTAGAATTTAATTGTTCAAAATATCTCTTGACTTGAAGCATATTACTCTTTATTTTTTATATTATTCCAGGACCAATAAACCATCTAATTGGAATAACAATCTTAATGATTACTCCAGCCTCACTGATTCCCAGTTCCTCTTTGGGTCCCAATTCTGTCCGGAGAATTCACAATCACTTTCAGCATCTTTGGACTTCAATGCCCACTTGAGACATGCCAAAACTTTACAACAGAACTCTGAGGATGTGAGTCTGATTTACGTAATTTCTTTGCAATCATTTCACCATTTTTAAGGAAAGTAGGATGTTTTAAAAAAACTGTTTAAATATGTCTTAGGAAGTGTACATCTCAAAGGATAATATTTGAAGAGAGTTTATAATAGGTGAATGACTTGCTAGATTAGATATAATGGGAAAATAATTTGTTTTTACAGTTGCTTTTGTTATTTAACTAATAATTAATGATGGAATTGTGGCAAGTATGGTTGGACTTCAACCTTTCTTGGGGAGACTCAAATATCGCATCATTTTTTCTGAGACCAGTAATGCAATTTTGCTTATTAGATTTTGCAGGGGAAACGGCTTCTTGAGAGGTGTTTGGTAACATCGTAATATACATTTTTCATGTTGACAGCAAAATTTTCTAAGAAGCTCCAGGTGATTTGTAGACTAGTTAATGCCTCCTTCTAAAATATGCACTTAGGGGCAGCCAGGTGGTGCAGTGGATGGAGCATCAGCCCTGAAGTCAGGAGGACCTGAGTTCAAATGCAGCCTCAGACCAAACACTTGACACTTGCTATCTACGTGACCCTGGGCAAGTCACTTAACCCCCATTGCCTTAAAAAAAAAAAGATGCCAAAATATGCACTTAAAGTGAATATTCAGAGGAGACAAATAAGACATAGTACAATCAGATATTTGCTCATTTATATTATGTGACTCAGTACCTATACCTGGAATAGCTTCTAAATCTCTTAAATCTTTAATCACTGTTAATTAGTCTATTTTCCTGCTCCACTGTTGCTCTGATTAAATAGATAGAGAGAGACAGAGAGACAGAGAGAGAGACAGAGAGAGAGACAGAGACAGGCAGAGAGAGAAAGAGACAGAGACAGAGACAGGCAGAGACAGAAAGAGAGAAAGAGAGAGAGAGAGAGAGAGAGAGAGAGAGAGAGAGAGCGAGTGCGAGAGAGCATGGTGCAATGGAAATAGCATTTCAGGAAATCTAGGTTCACTTCTTTGCTCTGCTATTTCCTGGATCTGAGGAAAGTACTTTGTAAACTTTAAAGCCTGATAGAAATGTGAGTTATAATTTATTATAATATTTTGCAGGTTCACCTTTGCATTTGATGGAAGTCTAGTGACCTTTGCGCCTAGGTCATAAACCAAACCTAAATTCTCTAGAAGGATTTTAGGGCTAAAATTGAGGCCCAGTGACCTGGAAGAGTTACTGCACTTCTCAGTGCATTTAGACTTTGAGTTTGGATTATGAAAGCTGAAAAGAAATTTGTCAACTGTGTACATTATTGAGGTGTTTTTGACAGAGACCTATTAGCACAATTACTGAGTTGCATCTGAACAGCAGCGATTAAAATTAAATTAATTAATGTGTGAAAGGTAACCTTACACCTTTCCTAACACTAGCACTAAGAATCCATTGTTTTTCCTTGAAATATATGCAGTTGGCATTAAGCCACTTCATCTGAAAGATTTTTACATCCCTTAGCAGTGCATTAGAAGCTTTACTAGGTAGAAAGAGGTTCATTTCATTAAAAAAAAACAAACTTATTTTTCCAATTAACAAGCATTTGTTTTTTATTCCTCCTTCTGCTCCTTCCATCTCCACACAATCCCGTTACTGTAGTCCTGTGCCCCCCATTTGAAAAAAAAAGAAAAACAAAACCCTGTAACAAATATGTATGGTCAAGCAAAACAAATTCACACATTGGCCAGGTCTAAAATATGTCTTTTCAGCATCTTAAGTTTATCACCACTCTGTCAGGAGTTGTGAAGCATGTTTCATCATAGATTCTCTGAAATTGTAGTTGGTCACTATGTTAATCTGAGTTCTTATTAAGATCCTTCAAAGTTGTTTACCTTTACATTGTTGTTGTACTATATGATTGTTCTATTGCTTCTGCTTACTTCACTCTGCATTAGATCATATAAGTCTTATCATTTCTTATGACCCAGTAATATCCCATTGTATTCTTATACTATATTTTGTTTAGCCATTCCCCAGTTGATGAACATCTCCTTAGTTTCCATTTCTTTGCCATTATAAAAGAGCTAGCTGCTATAAATATTTTTGCATATGAGTCCATTTCCTCTTTCTTTAATTTCTTGAGGTATAACATAATAATGTCACTGGGTCAAAAAGTATACAAAAATTAATGCCTTTTAATTTCATAGTTCCAAATTTCCAAATGGCTTTCCAGAATGTCTAGAATAATTCATAGCTCCACCAACAGTTCATTAATTTCCCTGTTTTCCTATAGCCCCTCCAATATTTGTTATTTCCCTTTTTTGTCATCTTTGCCAGTCTAACCCCGATTGCCTCACCAAAAAGCAAAAAAAAAAAAAGGTAGTCTTAACCTCATACAATCACAGTCCCTAAAGTTCAAAAGGACCCTTTGAAATTATCTAGTTCAACTTTCTTATTTTACAGATGAGGAAACTAAAGCCTACATAAATTAAATTGCCCTGGTCACATAAACCATAAGCAGCAAAACTGAGATTTGAACCAAGGTCCTCTCTCTATTAGTGCTCTTTCCACTAAGCCACTTAAGCTGCTGATCTATTTCACATACCAGACATATTATCACAGTTGACAAGAGACAGTGACATATATTTTTTTCCATTTGTTTCATCCACTAGTGACATTGTGACAACAAGCCTATACAATTCAATTTACATAGTGTTAGTGATTATTGCTTATTGAGTGTTGGTAATAATTGCTTAGTTATGTTTGTTTTCTTCATGTAGATCGGGGAAGAAGGCAGGAATGTCTTTCTCAATTGCTATAGGCAACTAGACACATGAGGTTGTAGGATCAAGCCTTGAGTTTACATAAAAGTAAAATAAGGCCAGTAGAGGAAAAGGGACTTAATAAAGGTCACACACTGTTTTTAAGATCAGTTATTTTTCTATGAAGTACTTTATATTTTCTTCTTTTTTTAGTCTTTTGACTTATTTAAAAATATTTTTTGTTATTTCATGGAGTTATTAATGTTTTCTGGGCCATTCTAATTTTCAGGGAGTCTGTTACTTGAGTAGTTTTGTACTTTTTTAAAATAATATTTAATTTTTTTCCAATTATATGTAAAGACAATTTTTAGTATTCATTTTTGCAAGATTTTGAGTTCCAAATTTTTCTTCTCTTCTCCCTCCCTTTTCTTCTTCCTAAAATGGTAAGCAATTTGATATGGGTTATATGTGTGCAATCGTGTAAGACATATTTTCACATTAGTCATAGTTGTGAAAGAAGAAACAGACCAAAAGGGAAAAAAACATGAAAAAAAATTAAGTAAAAGTAGTATGCTTCAATATGTATTCAGTCCATTAGTTCTCTGTCTAGATATGGATAGCATTTTCCATCATGAGGCCTTTGTAATTGTCTTGGATCATTGTGTTGTTGAGAAAAGCTAAGTCATTCATAGTTGATCATTATACATTGTTGCTATTACTGTGTAGAGTATGCTCCTGGTTCTGCTCATTTCATTTTGCAGCAGTTCATACAAATCTTTCTAGGTTTTTCTGAAATCTGCCTGCTCATCATATCTTATTGCATAATAGTATTTCATTGCATTCATATAAACAGCTTGTTCAGCCATTCCCTAATTGATGGACATCCCCTAAATTTCTAATATTTTGCTATCGCGTAAAGGACCACTATAAATATTTTTGCACATGTAGGTCCTATTCCCATTTTTATGATCTCTTTGGGAAACAGACCTATTAGTGATATTGCTGGATCAAAGGGTATGCACAGTTTTATAGCCCTTTGGGCATAGTTCCAAATTGCTCTCTAGAATGGTTGCATCAGTTCATAATTCCACAAACAGTGCATTTGTGTCCCAGTTTTCCCACATCCTCTCCAACATTGATCATTTTCCTTTTTTGTCATATTAGCCAATATAATAGGTATGAGGTGGCACCTTAGAGTTGTTTTCATTTACATTTCTCTAATCAAAAGTGATTTAGAGCATTTCTTCATATGACTATAGATACTTTGATTTCTTCATTTGAAAACTGCCTGTTCACATTCTTTGACCATTTATCAGTTGGGGGATGGATTATATTCTTATAAATTTGACTCTGTTCTCTATATATTTGAGAAATGAGGCCTTTATCGAGACATTTGCTGTCATTTCCTCACTTTCTGCCTTCCTTCTAATCTTGGTTGCATTGGTTTACTGTCTTATGTACCTAATCTATTCCACTGATCCATGGCTCTGTTTCTTAGCCAGTACCAGATAGTTTTGATGATTACTGCATTATAATATAGTTTAAGTTCTGGTACTGCTAGGCTACCTTCCTTTGCATTTTTTTCTATTAATTCCCTTGATATTCTTGGCCTTTTGTTCTTCCAGATTAATTTTGTTATTTTTTCTAGTTCTATAAAACAATTTTTGGTAGTTTGATTGGTATAGCACTGAATAAGTAAATTAATTTAGGTAGAATTATCACTTTTATTATATTTGCTTGGCCTACTCATGAGCAATTAATATTTTTCTAATTATTTAGATCTGGCTTTATTTATAGAAAAAGTATTTTGTAATTGTGTTCATCTAGTTCCTGGTTTTGTCTTGGCAGGTAGACTCCCAGGTATTTTATATTGTTTGCAGTTATTTTAAATGGAATTTCTCTTTTTATCTCTTGCTGCTGCATTTGTTGGAAATATATAGAAATACTGATGATTTATGTGGGTTTATTTTATATCCTGCTATTTTCCTAAAGTTGTTAATTATTTCAATTAGTTTTTTAGTTGATTCTCCAGGATTCTCTAAGTATACCATAATATCACCTGCAAAGAGTGATAGTTTTGTTTCCTCATTGTCTATTCTAATTCCTTCAATTTCTTTATTGCTAAAACTAATGTTTCTAGCACAATGTTGAATAATTGTGGTGATACTGGGCATCCTTGCTTCACTCCTGATTTTATTGTGAAGGCTTCTAGCTCATCCCCATTATAGATGTGTGGGACAAGTGAAAGTTTCTCATGTAAGATGTAAGATATGGAGATACTTCTGAGTTTTTATTTGGGTAAGTAAGTGGTCTCTATTCCTCTCAAAGATAATACTTGATGATAGTTTTAGATAGATATAAATTATCATTTTGAGAAAAGTTCCATTTCAACAAAACAAAAAGCAAAAAAGGAAAAAGAAAAGCTCCATTTTTTCCTATGCTCTCTATTGTTTTTAATAGGAATGGGTACTGTATTTTGTCAAAACCTTTTTCAGCATCTGTTGAGATTATCATATAATTTCTGTTGGTTTTTTTTCTTTCTTTTTTTAGGCAATTGAGGTTAAGTGACTTGCACAGGGTCACACTGCTAGTAAGTGTCAAGTGTTTGGTCTGAGCCGTATTTAAACTCCTGACTTCAGGGCCAGTGCTCTATCCACTTCGCCACCTAGCTGCCCAATTTCTGTTGGTTTTGTTATTGATATAGTCAACTATGCTGATGGTTTTTTCTAAATAGTGAACCAACCTGCATTCCTGCTATAAATCCCACCTAGTCATAGTGTATGATCCTTATAATATATTGTTGTAATCTCCTTGGTAGTATTTTATTTAAACATTTTGCGTCAGCATTCATTAGGGAAATTGGTCTATGGTCTTTGGGAATATGGTCTTTCTCTGTTTTAGCTCTTCCTGGTTTAGGTATCACCACTGTATTTGTGTCATAAAAGGAATTTGATAGGATTCCTTTGCCTATTTTTCTTAATAGTTTATATAGTATTAGAATTAATTATTCTTTAAATATTTATTTGTGAACCCATCTGGCTGTTGGGATTTTTTTCTTAGGGAATTCATTGATGGCTTGTTCAATTTCTCTTTCTAAGATGGTGTTATTTAGGTATTCTATTTCCTCCTCTGTTATTCTGGGCAATTTATAGTTTCATAAATAATCATCAATTTTATCAGATTGTCAGATTTATTGGCATATAATTGGGCAAAATATTTCCTAATGATTGCTTTAATTTCCTCTTCATTGGTGGTAAATTCACTTCTTTCATTTTTGATTCTATATATTTGGAATTAGATATTTTGATATTAGATATTTTCTTCTTTTTAATCAAATTAACCATTGGTTTATCTATCTTGTTTCCTTTTTCATAAAACAATCTCCTAGTTTTATTATTAGTTCAACAGTTTTCTTTCAATTTTATTAATCTCACCTTTGGTTTGCAGCATTTCCAATTTGATGCTCAATTAGGGATTTTAATTTGTTCTTTTTCTAGTTTTTTAGTTGAATGCCCAAGGCACTGATCTACTCTTGCTCTATTTTATTGATGTAAGAATTTAGAGAAATAATTTTCCCCTAAGTACTGCTTTGGTTGCATCCCATAAAGTTTGGTATGTTTTCTCATTGTTATTCTCTTTAATGGAATTATTGATTGTTTCTCCAGGAGCTTAATTTTTATTTTTTAATTTTTCTGGAAAATCTGTTATGCTAAGACTAAAGCAAAGTACTCAAAGTTACAAAATTACATGTTTAGAATCATGCCATGTGTGAAAATGGTCTTACTTTGCAGAGAACTGAGGGCAATATTATAAGTAGCTGAGTAACTGTAAGATTTTCTTTTTTATTTCCAACAGAGTGAACCTAGTATTTTCACAAAATATCAGGCAAAACCCCAGCTGTTTGGGGGAGATTCAAAGGATGGAAATTTACTTTTTCCTCATTTACCTATTGGAAAATCAAAAGGTGTCTTGGAACAGTTTGAGGAGAATAAGAAGAAAGCACAAAATAAACAGGACAGGTATGCAAACATACCCAAAGACAGGTAAGTGAAGGACAATTCATTTTCTTGTATGGAAGAGGAAAATGACTGACATCAAGGGCTTTAAATTCAAGTCTGCCATATGTGGGCAAAAGATTATGTCTTCCTGTTCCATGGCTGCTGCCGATTACCTATTTAGCTTAGTAAAATGTGCCCTGTGCTTTAAAGCTTTGGGGTTAGGATGGATTATGAAGATTTTTGCCCGTTCTGGAAAAAGAATGCTGGAGTACTTACTGTGAAAGGAATGGTAAATGCGAACTATAGCTTGTGTGCCTTTCGAAAAGTACACCCATTTTCTTTCCCATGAGAAATGGTATGCAGTTGGCTACCTATTTTAGGGGGAAATGCAAAATGTAGGGTTCTAGCTGCATTTCCGGAAGAGTTTTAGTAAAGCACAAGAATATATTTAATGCTGATTTTCCCAATAAGAAATTGGGGACTTTGTGAGAAAGACCTGAAGGTCCATTGACATACTTTGTGAAATAGTTGATGTTGTATCATGTTATTTCATCTTGATTAAATTTAGGAGGTAAATTATAACCCTTAAAGTCACTTTACAGGTAGTGAAGCTAAAGACCCAGAGCACAGAAAATAATTTGCCCAGTATTTGGCAGCCAGCTCCTAACAGTCTTGATTTTCAGCTTTTTGCTTTTTAAGATGTAGTCATGGGGAAGCTAGGTGGCTCAGAAGATAGAACTCCAGCCTTGGAGTCAGGAGGACCTGAGTTCAAATCCAACACATGACACTTACTAGCTGTGTGACCCTGGGAAAGTCACTTAACCCCGATTGCCTCACCAAAAAGCAAAAAAAAAAAAAGGTAGTCTTAACCTCATACAATCACAGTCCCTAAAGTTCAAAAGGACCCTTTGAAATTATCTAGTTCAACTTTCTTATTTTACAGATGAGGAAACTAAAGCCTACATAAATTAAATTGCCCTGGTCACATAAACCATAAGCAGCAAAACTGAGATTTGAACCAAGGTCCTCTCTCTATTAGTGCTCTTTCCACTAAGCCACTTAAGCTGCTGATCTATTTCACATACCAGACATATTATCACAGTTGACAAGAGACAGTGACATATATTTTTTTCCATTTGTTTCATCCACTAGTGACATTGTGACAACAAGCCTATACAATTCAATTTACATAGTGTTAGTGATTATTGCTTATTGAGTGTTGGTAATAATTGCTTAGTTATGTTTGTTTTCTTCATGTAGATCGGGGAAGAAGGCAGGAATGTCTTTCTCAATTGCTATAGGCAACTAGACACATGAGGTTGTAGGATCAAGCCTTGAGTTTACATAAAAGTAAAATAAGGCCAGTAGAGGAAAAGGGACTTAATAAAGGTCACACAGGTAAGGAGCAGAGCCAGAAATGAACTCAGTTTCTCTGACTCTAGATGAATTTAATTACTATTGAAGGTACCACCAGCCTTCCAGCCATCCAGGTCCATAACCTCAAAGTAATCCTTGACTTCTCACTCTCATTCACACTCTATGTCTATTTATCTGTCTATAGAGTAGGTATATGCACCTGTATATGGATATACAAGCTATATATAAATAATATATATTTATATGTATCATATATAACACAATATGTATCATATACAGTCTAATGTATAATATACACACACATACATACAATCTCTCACCAAATCCTTCTCTACAATGTCTCTTGGATACATCATCTTCTCTCCACTCACATGGCTGCCACCCATGTTCAGGCTCTTATTTCTAACCTGGACTACTGCAACAGCCTCCTTGTTGTTCTTCTTGTCTCATCTCTCCCCACTCCAATCCATCCTTCATATAGCTTCCTAAAGCACAGGTCTGACCATGGCAACCCCCCAGTCCCCAGTATATTCAAATGGCTCCCTATTAGCTCCAGATTCAAATTTAAAATCCTCTGGTATTTAAAATTCTTTATACCCTCGCCCTCTTTATCATTCTAGTTTCCTCTCACATTACTGCTCTTCACTTACTCTTCTCTTACTATCTGGCCGTACTGGCCTAATTGGTGTTCCTCACATATGACACTCCATTTCTGGCCTGTTTTGGCATTGGTTGTCCTCCATGCTTGGAATGCTAATCTTCCTGACTTCCACCTTTTAGAATCTGTGCTTTCATTCACAACTCATGTCAAAGTCCAAATTCTTTGGCCCTTTCCTGGTTTCCCTACCTACTAATGCTTTTCCTTCTAAGTTTACCTTTGTATGTATCTTGTAGGTGGCTCAGTGGATGGAGCTCTGGGCCTGGAGTCAAGGAAGACCTGGGTTCAAATCTGGCCTTAGACATTAGCCATGTGACTCTGGGCAAGTCACTTAACCTCTGTCTGCCTCTATTTCCTCATCTGTAAAATGGGGATAATAATAGCACTTACCTTCCAGGGTGGTTGTGAGGATCAAATAAGATTATAATTGAAGTGTTTAGTACAGCGCGTGGTGCATAGTAAGTGCTACATAAATGTTAGCTATTTTTATTATTTATTGTATCTATGTCTGTACATGTTGTTTCCCCCACTAGAATGAAGCTCCTTGATGGAAGGACTGTTGCTTTTACTTGTATCTCCATTCCTTAGCAGAGTGCTTTACCCAGGGTAAACTCATAATAAATACCGACTGATTGATTTCCATTGTACCACACTATCTCCCCTCACTCACAAATAGTGCTTAATCAGAGCTTTCTCTTGCCCAGAGTGTTCTTCCTGAGGGATGTCAACCTTATAAAGAATGGTGTTTGGCTGTCCCCAGTCCTGACCTTCAGAAGGGCACTGGTGCATGAGTTGAGTCAGGCTCAGTCCTTTGAGATTTGAGACCAGCATCCTTTCCAGAACTACCGACTACCTTTCAGGTGGGATTTAGTATAGATCATTCTTACAGGCAATGCTGAAGACAAGCTGGCTTCTCACAGATTGAACCTGATGGTTAGTACATCTCTTTTTGGTGGCCTCAGCTGCATATAGATCCCTCATCTTCTTTTCCACCCAGTTTGTATTTTGCAGCTTATCTGTTTCATGGCATTGTCATTCTTTTCTCCCTCTCCCCTCCAGGCCAAATCAGTCAGCAGAAGGAAACTTTAGTTTCTTTCTGAAACCTCTCAGCTACAAGCTGGAAACACCATGGTCACTGTTTTGTGTAAACCACCGCAACTGAAAAAAAAATGAAAATAAGACTGAAAATATCTGACATTTTTTTTAAGCATAGCACTCCTTATCAAAGGAACTATGTTGGAGGACTTGTTTGACTTAATTACTACCATGACAATTAATAGCTATCATTCATTTCATTTTGAATAGCTGCAGGGTATATATTTCATCTTCAAAAGGACAAATGGAATTTCTGAGGGGACTCTGAGAAGATTTCTTTTCCTTCTATTTGTAGCTGTCATTCCTTTAGAAATAAAAGGAACAAACTAGCTATTTATAGGACCTTTGCCTCTTGATTAATACATATTCTAAGGTACTGATTGATGAGTTTCTTTTCTCCAGGTACTGTCTCTCTGCATTTCCTCTGCATTTTCTGTCATCTGTTCAATACAGTTTATGTAATTTCAGAGCCATTTAACATTCAGTGAAAACAGAGAACAAATTATGAGCTTTCTGTTCTAAGAGTATCTCAAAGAAGTTAAGAAAAAAGCCAGGGCTCTTTATTTAGAAACATTCAAGCATAAGAAGCTGAATTCCATAATGGAAGAGTGGGAAGGTATAGTTATGATAAATTCCATTTCAATGTAAGCTCTTGCTTTTAGTTTCTTGTTTTCTGTCAATGAGACCAAGTCATAATGTGGTGAGAAAGAAATGAAAAACTGAAGGGGAGAGGAGAGTACAAAGATGGCAGGTTTGGCATTAGGGAAGGAATAATATCTAGTCCAGTGTTCAAATACAGCTCCTTCCTGGTAAATGTTAGCTTAGTTGAAAAAGAGTAACATTGTAGTCCCTTTGCCAACACTGAAGTTTCTTAGTTTGCAGTTATGTACTTATTTCACAGTAAGGGGACACAAAATTAAAGGTTCTCCAAAGAAGCCTAAACATTTAGATAATGGTGATGGGGAAGTTGTTCGTGTTCTTTTGTGAGAAACAGATTAGCCTCATTAAGCAGGTAAGAACAGATGATTAGATCATAGAAAAATTATTCCTGTCTCTGAGGGGTTGCTCTGGATTGTGCTGAAATTAACTGTAGTGGATTTTGGGGTTGCATTCAATGACAAGCCTTGGTTTTCGTGGCAAAATAGCCTACAAAGACTAGATGCAGTCTTGGTGACCATTCTTCACCTACTCTCAGGTCCCCTTGTCAGTCAGCCCTGTATCTGTGACCCAGAACTGAGTGGTGAACAACAGAGCTGCCAGTTGGCATCTGTTCCCATAGAAGGTCAGGGTCCTTCTGCATGAGTCTGGGATTCAGTACTCTGGTGCACAGCCTTGATCCTCTCTTAGTTCTTACACACTAGAATCCTCTGTGGCTGCATGCTCCTAAGCAGGCCCCATCTCAAATGTCCACAGGCCTCTCTGTTTATCTCCCTATGCTGACCTGAGCTGGAAATAGGACTCATTTTGATTTTTTTCTTTGATTTCCTGATTAGGACTCCATCTGGTACATTTTCTAGATACTTGTGGAGGAGTTGCATTGGAAAGCTTAACTGTACTTCCTGTTACTCTGATATCTTGGCTCCATTCCTGGATCCCCAAATTCTTGACACTTATCCAGAACACCTGACTTTTCTACTGTACCTTGGGGCTTCTTCTACCAATTAGGCACATGTAACTATAACACATCTCAGGCACTGCCTCTCTGTGGCTGCCATCTCTGGTGATGATAGGAGTGGGGAGATGTTCCTGGGGAGTTATAGGGATGGGCATATTTCATTCCCTCACACAGGGACTAGTTCTACTTTCAGATCTCAACTGATGCTACTCTGTGCTCTGATCACTGACTATATGATCTTTAGCAGCTCTGACTGCTCACTTTGTAGGCAGTACAAGGGAGTTCCAATCCATAAAAATC